GAGTCAGCGTTATGCAGCATTGTGTGGAATTGTCCATTAAAGTAGTCTTAAAAATTCACTGGTGATGTTGAACTCGGAACCTGGCTTTTAATCTATTCTCAAGACTTCTGATTTCTTAGACTTTTTTTTTCAATTTCTCATCATAATTCCTGGGGGAAAAGAAGACCATAATAGATCTGCTCTTACAAGTCTAACATCTCTGCTCCCCTTCCAAAAATGTCTCCAGTTCATGGTTTTCAATGAGAGACTTGAAATCACATCATTTTTGGATTTACTGATTCAGGCTCCTTCCTAAACCTTGAGCGATGACACCTCAAATGGCAAAGGATTTGCCTCACCAGGAACCCAAGAAATGGAATTCAGGTGTGGTTGGAGAATAACTTAAACTGTGTTAAAAGACTTCCTTGCAGACAGAAAATGGTCCTTGTAGGTTTAGTAGAATCAATGCAACAAAATACTTTCCTTTTCATAGTGGGCTTCCTCAGTTCTCTAGAATGAGTGTATAGCTGGATAAAGAGTTGCTGGAATTCATACGTCAAGTTCATAACTATGAATGGGTAAAAGCTCTGCTCTTGTATTCCTACAAGAAAACCACTAAAATGAGTCATCCTGCAGGGGGCAATAGAGTGACTCAGCTTTAGAACTGCCTCATCAAGTTCCTGGGAAGGAATGATCATGAGGAATTATTGAGCAGTCTTGGACTTGAGAAAACATTAAGCAGCCTACCACTTTATTATAGCTCTCCAGAATCAATGTGAGTTTTTATAGTAAAGCTAAACAGGCTGGAGGGGAGTCACAAGGTGGATAGCTGCCTACAGAGGAAGAATGACCTAAACCCCCAGATCTGCGTAAGTCGTGAGGCAAGGCTGACTCGGCTCTTGAAGTGGGATGCTCTACAGTGAGATCTCTCCTCCTTTCTCCAGGGGCTTATGCTGAGTATGCACCCATATTAACTCCAGCAAAATTTTTTGACTGCTCAATATCCTACATTTTGTAATGCATAGGACAGGTGGAAGACTTTTTCTGGGCCACTACAGAGTCCTCCACACTTTAATGCCAGGGCGTGGACCACAATGCCATGTAGTGTTGGTGTACATCCTCTAGTGGTCAACTGCCCATGCAGTAGAAAGACCTGGAAGAAATCATACTTATCCTTGTGTTATGGAAATAAGGATCCTAGGTGGGGTTAAACTTCCAATTCTGATGCACTGCCTTTCAGATTTTCTAGGAGAAACTTAGACAAACACAGGCAGGGTGTACTTCCCAGATACCCAGTAAGAAATCTGCCTAACTCAGGAGAAGAAGAAGCAAAGTTTGGAGTGCAATGAGTGGTGGGTAGGTTGTACAAACTTATGTCATTCCCTTGATAAAGGTACACAAAAAGCATATAGGGGAAGGGAATGGAGACTATAGTGCTACTTGAAAACATCCACAGTCTTTTTCATCTCTTTGTTTCTTCCAATTCAAGACTTCTTACTGGCTGATCTCATTTTCTATGCAGAAATTGAATGATGGAGCAATTCTTATGAGAAAAAAACAATCAAAGCTGAAGAGGAGAGTGAACTTGACAAAGGGTTGCACACAGCAGAGAAAGGCACTGTAAACTGCTACTGTAAGAACTGTTGGTAAGGGGTGGTCTTGGTGAAAGAACAATTCAAGAAGCAGGAAGATGGAGGAGAAAGGATGACAGAGAAAAGACCATTTTAAAGAGCTGAGTTATAAAGAGATGAGAAATAAGAAAACTATGCAAAAAAGAAAATAGTCATGTGGCTTATATTAACAGTACACTGTCTATTTTCAGGCATTTTCCCCTACCAAGAGACCTAGTAAAGATGCCAAATGCTTTTGTTTACTATTTGAGAATGGGCCATTTGGGGGCAGAGATTCAATTATATTTACATTACAATTACATAGCATATTGCTTTGGAATATCATTATTTATTAGCCTGAATTACTTCTTTTAGCTCTTTCTTCACTTTATATTTTGATAATACACTATCCTAAGTAGCAATAAATCTGAAAAATATCTTAGAAATGTATTTTTAAGTCAATAAAAAATACAGTTCTAGCTTGGTATTACCAGGCTTTCTGCCAAGTATAGTAATTGTTACTTGTGGAATTTCTTACAATGGCCAAAGCATTTGACTCAATAAATGTAACTCTGGAACGAGTATTTGGGTGGAGACACAAGTCTGCGGAAAGTTGGTGAGGCAGTTCAAGCCCATATGCTCGAAGAGATTTATCGATATATTCACTCGGCCGATCCAAGAAACACAGGGTGTGTTGTGCTCAATTGAACATTGAGTTTCATAACCTTTGCTGTTCATTCTCCTTTTCTCCTCTCTATTTTCTCTCCTTTTCCTATTCTTTTTCATCTGTCTTCATACTAGGTAACAAACATTTATTAAACATTTGGATATGTAAGTGCAAAGACCACACTCAAGTCATATGAAGAAGAGGGGCTGTTGGTTATTTAAAACACACTTGTACTGGAAACAACCACAAAGCTGTGGGGAACTGAAGCAAATTTAGGGACCACAGGACAATGGCTGAAGCCAGCAACATGGCAGGCACAGTCCTGAACCACAGTGCCAAGATCTGGGCTTCAACAATCTTCTTTCATTGAATTCCAGTTGAAATTGAACTCTTTGTTGTTCTTTCCCAAGTGACAATGTGTAGAACCAATTTGTGGAAATGTAGACTATAAATATAAACAAATAAATTGAAAGTCAAATATGCTATTTTTTTGCAAGGTAGATAATCTAAATGCAAAAGTTAAGTTGTAAAAATTCACTTGTGAATGGGTTGGTTCATCTCTAAAAGTGTGAATGTGCCCAAATGCAGAGAAAAAAAAGAAGAAATTTTAATTAAATTTCCACAACTGCTCATTTTTTAGTTCTAAATGTGAATTCACTAGCTTTAGTTTTCTCCTCCTTTCACTCCGATCTATTGAACATTTATGTGCTCAATTCACTTGTTTTTTTCAACTCAAAACTGTACAGTTTTTTTTCCCTCCTTCATTAGAAACTCACTAAATAAAACGGTTCTACAGATCTCATCTGACATTTCTGGCATGTTGGTCCATTTGCGGTGGCCAGCACCTGTACAGGAACTTCCATGCCTGTCAGGAACCTCGTCCACTGTATTCTACCCTTGCACACACTGAGTAACTTCAATAGTCACTATTTTGGAAAGTCACTGCACCTAATCAAGGATGTAATTACACTCCTTTGTCAGTTAGTGTGAATAAAAAGACCAGTTCATTTAATGAACAAACAGAAAACAAAACAAAAATTGCTCAAGCAGATGGTTTCTCTGTTACATCAACAGCATTTAAAATTCAACTCAAAATTTAACTTATTAACATTTTGTAAATATGAATCATCCACAAACCACAAAGAGTGAGGTTCTCTGTCTCAAGCTTGTTAGAAAATTTCTAAAAAAAAAAAAAGAAAGAAATTTTCTGTGACTCTTTAGGCAGGATGTGCTCTTCCCCTCTCCCCCACATGCCTTCCTGAGCTGCAGAGGTGGGAAAGTTCAAATCTACACCTCTTAGACCCCCCTGAAGCCGGGGTTTCTGTAATCATATGGGATGATGAAAGTCCCACTGAACTTCAGATGTTGCTAAGCACATCTGTGGAGGAACTGGGATTTCAGTGGAGAAGAGGTCAAAGAGCACGCTAAGTAGCTTTGTGGGTCCAGCAGGTGGCACAGAGCCAAAGAAGTGCAGAATGACTCTGGAGCTCCCAGCTGCATCTTCCAGGGTCCTGGATCACAGCATAAGCACTGAAAGCACTGTTACAGGGCAACGGCTTCAGAAACAAACAGCCCCAAATTCTCAACTCCCTCACTAAGGTCAAGACAGCAGCTTCCTCAGCAGGCTAGTTTCAGTCTTTCTGCAATTACTTCTGGAGACAGTTCTCCATGTCTTTCAGTAATTTACTAATACCCTGGCTTAAATATTTTTGTGTTTAAAATAGTGTTTTCTGTTGTTGCTAACTGAATTCAGGTTGATTACAATGTTTGAAACAACAGTTTGATATTTAGCCTAATTAACTTTGAAGGAATGAGGATCTACTTCCCAATAAAGATGGGGTAACGGCAATCTTTACAGCTGGTATGCAGCAGCTTGTTACCTCTATGCACCTGGAATGAAGTGCCATGGAAAACAGACTACGGAAAAGGGCACAGCGCAGTAGGAGGACGGGTGAATAGGAATAAATCAGAGGCTGCAAACTGCACTGGAGAGATTTAAAAAGAAACGAAAACATCAGGGCTTTAAATTACCCACTCAGTGTGGTTACAGAACCAGGGAAACTTTAGCCTTGAAAGAATCTTCTTTCTTGTGGCTGCTGGGTTGACGTAGCCAAAAATCAATCACAGAGTCTGACCCCATGGCTTGTTGAATTACAACATAGGTTGAATTCAAAGACTTGTGGATTTCTTATATGAAAATGCATTGCTGAGGAAAGAATAGGTCTCCAAGAATTGGAGGATATGGGAAAGTTTTACTTATCCCCAAACTAACTCGCTGGCCTGACATGTCAGCAGATGTCGTCTCTTCCACCCCATGTGATGAAACTCCTCTTTTTAAATGTTTTTGTGGGTTTGTAATATTGCCAATTTTAGAAACTTCAATTATCTTGTGTATTTCAGTATTTTAAACAATCAACCAATGTGTTTATGTTAAATTAGGGGCTAACCATTGGTAGCATTTCATTAAACAAAAGTGAGACACTTCTTATTTTAAGGAATACAAAAAAGCCACTAAGAGAAATAAAAATCCATTTATATGTTATTTGTCTAATTAATAAAATCTTAAGACATCTGAAAAAAAAAAAAAAACCTCATTTTTTGACTTTAAAAACTTGTAGCGATCTTTGCTGAAGTGGCTGCCTTACCTGAGATGCTAGTTCACCTTTCTACCATGCTATTCACATCACTTCCTCAGGTACAATCTGATCCCAAGATGCCAGAGGATCACAACTGTGAAACCACACCTGACAGAAAATATCTTACCCTTGAAAACACTGAGTATTTTACAAAGGAAGTAAAGAAAAGTGTTGACTCATAGGATCTGTAGGTCTTACCACAAATCTTATTGCACAGAAGTAGTTGGTCTCACAGAAGACACTTATGATGCTGGTAGAATGGAGTGAGCTTTCTCTCCCTCCTGGTTATTACTGAACCTAGCTGGGGGTGATGGGAGATGCAGAAAGGACAAAGGATAGACAGACAGACAGAAAATTGGGGCCAGGTGTGCTGGGTGCTTGGATAGAGACACACAATAGCCTCATTGCTTCTCTTCTCTGTTATTCTCTTCATTTACTTTGCTTCTTTTCTCTCTTCTTTAAGGTCTTACTCCTTTACAATTCTTTAAAACCTTGCTCCTAAAGTCTTCTTTTCTATTCTTTAAAGTCCCTTTCCTTAGACTCACTCTGTCCCATGTTTTCTCTTTGCTTTTCTTTAAGTCTCGGTTCTTAGACTTGCACTGTCCCATATTCTCTCTTTAGTTTTCTTAACGTCTCAGCTCTCAGACTTGCAAACAATCAACAGCGGCTGTTCCCTCGCAAGTTGCCAACCAGTTTTATCTACCCCTCTTTAGCAATTCCACTTTGGCAATTCCCCTTCAGCAATTCTCCTTCAGCAATTATTTTCCCTTCAGTAATCCTCCCTTCAGCAAGCTCCTTTCAGTCAAAAAACCACCCATCAAAAAGCCCCAAGTCCTCCTTCAGAGAGTCTTTTATATCCAGTGGTAAATGAGGAGGTGGAGCAGCAGTTCTCCAGGTGGGACATGATACTGTAACATGAGAAACCTGGGTTCCTGCTTCTCTGAAAGTAAACAACTTAGGAAAAGCAGCTGAGCTGCATCTTGCTTTCTTGCTCTCTTCTGCAGCTGGGGCTTGGCCAAATCTCAGTCTGCAGATTATTTAACATAAACATCTTAGGAAAAGCAGCTGCTCTGCATCTTATTCTTTCCCTATTCTGCAGCTGGGGCTGTGCCAAATCTCAGCCTGCAGAACATTGAGTACAACTGCACTTATGTGCTCATAGGCTTCTCCTACTTGGCTCTCCACAGTAGAAGTCAACTCCCTGTGGAGAGACGAAAGGTACTCTTAACCAGTAAGCAATGTATGTATGGCTATGAGCAGGAGAAGCTGCAATTGGGAGTAGCCTATGATGACACATTGAAGACAAAATGCTTTCTACCTACTATGACCGGAGAATGCAAAACTGACTGGTGAGATCTTAGCTCCATGTCCACGCAGTATGGTTTGAGAATTGGGGAGATGGTAGTTCTCCAAAGGAATATCTGAGTATGATTGCCTGAAGAAGGGAAAGGAATGCTAGGGGACAAAACAACAGCTGTCTTGCCATTTAGGAAACTGTTGCCTCCAATGTCCCATGTTCCATCACAATGCCTGAAAATGTACCACGAGTAAGACTTGCCCTTAAAAATGGTAAATACCTTCTACTTAGGTCATTCTCCTCATCCTAAAGATGACAGATTAAAAATAATCTGTCTAGAGTCATAGAGATGGGACTTAAGACAGAACTGTTTGGTTGCAAAGCCTCTATTCTTTAAAAAAATAGTAGTAAGTAGTAAATCACACACATGACATAAAATTCAAAGGGCACAATAAGGGGTTATAAAAACACAGAAAGGTAGTACCGTAACACTGTATTTTATGGCTTTTTTCTACATCCATCTACCTGTCTTGGTGATCATTACATATTAATATGAGTAGAGTGGCCTGTTGTTTTTACTCATTCTACAGTGTTCATTTTCTACATTAGCCTTTATCTGTGTAACTACCCTTGCTACACATTAATTTCTTTCCAGTCTTTTGCTAGGGATAACCTTGTTTATAAAGCTTTGAGCTTGTACTCATACATGCAGATTAAATTCTTAAAAATACAATTTTTAAATAAAAAGATATGCATGTTTTTGATTTGCTGGTTACTTTGAAATTGCTTTCCCAAAGGATTATTTCAGTCTATACTCATATTAATAGTATAGGAGAGCACCTGTTTTCTAAACCATCCTTGACTCAAGGGGTTGCTGGATGTTTCAGTGTTCGTCAACCTGATAAATGGGACTTTCTTATGGCTAATTTTGAGGATCTGTCATTAAGTATAAAAGTAATTCATCTTTCCATTTTAAGTGTTCATATCCTTTATCCCCTGGACTGTTAGTACTTTCAATTTGATTTATTGTAGTTAATTATGTATTAAAGGAATAAGTTTTTGAGCATCTTATGTGTTGAAATATTGCTCTTAGTTGCTTATAGTAGTTTTATTCTAGATAGAAATTAAACTTTATTTAACTTTTATGAGTGATTATCTTTTATTTTAATTATTAAATAATCCTTTACCTTTCTGACAAGCTTAAGAAAGCTTTTCTATTTCTCTTTCTCTTTTAGTGTGTATTAATAGTACAAAATAATAGGTTTCATTATGACATTTTCATACATGTAAATAATATCCTTTGATTATATTCACCCTCAATACCTTCTCCTGTCCCCTCCCCACAGTCCCCTTTCTCTTTCCAAATAATCCCTTTTTTATTTTCAAATGTTTTTTTCTTAATCTATATTCTGCATATGAGAGGAACCATGATGTTTGACTTTCTGAGTCTGGCTTACTTTGCTTAACATGGTGATCTCTAGTTCCATTCATTTTCCTGCAAATGACATAATTACATTTTTCTTTACGGCTGAATAATACTCCATTGTAAATCTACACCACATTTTCTTTATCCATTCATCAGTTGGGGGACAGCTGGGCAGATTCCACAACCTTGCTATTGTGAATAAGGTGATGACAAGCATGTGTGCGCAGATGTCACTATTCTATGCTGACTCTGATTCCTTCAGGTATATACCAAGTAGCATGGTACAACTTCATCACTTGGTACTTCTATTTTTTAGCTTTTTGAGGAAATGCCATACTGACTTCCCCCTAACGGTGTTCCTTTTTTCCCATGCCCTTACCAGCTTTAGCTGTTAAATCCTTTTCTATTTTGAAGTGCAAAAATATTCTCCCTTGGTTTCTTTTCACTGTTCTTGCATCCTTCGCCACTGTGTTAAAGCCTGACATTGTCCTGGGGAAAGGGCAAGATGGAGATTCCTCTTGCTTCTCCTTTCAGATCTCCCAGCCCTGGGTTCTCCTGAGCAGGCGATGTGTTGATCTTCAGAAGATCCTCAGAGGTGCCATCTGGGCGGTTCTGTCCAGGCCTTTCCAGCTTCTCCTTCCCAGGGGCGAAGCCGCCCTTCTTCTTCCCTGCTCGTAGCTGAGCACTGCTACATGGCATGCAGGAGCAGGAAGGTCCAGGAGACCCACCTTGTCGCCCACCTTGTCACCACGACTTAGTGGCGGCTTGCGGGTGAGGCCAGGCACCCTGAGTGCCGTGCGCATCGCTGCCTACTCCATGGTGTTAGCAGCAGTACTTGCTGTGCCGTCCTCCACGGTGCTTGCTGTGCCGTCCTCCACGGTGCTGGGAGCTTGGTCCCCCGTGTGAGAAGTGGAGCCTGTGAAACCATTCGGTCAGGGGTCGCCCTGTTTGTGAGCAGGTGAGTGCTGTCCCATCACAGGGCCACTCAGCAGGCACCACGTTCCTTTCCTACTTCTCTGCCATGCTGTCCCGCACCCTGGTCCCCAAGCTGCTACCACCAGAATCTTGAGCCGAATAAATCTCTTCACTGCATGAGTTTCCCAGCTACAGTATACTTTGTTATAACAACACAAAACAGACTAAGACGGTATTACGCTACTATAATTCAGCTGAAGTCAATTAAAAATAGCTTTTTTATTTCTGGAGGGAGCTAACAATAAGATATTCTTTTAATAACTCTTAATTTTTTAATTTGGATTAGTCCACTTTATAATAGGAGTGTAAGTACGGAATTGTCATGATAAAACCCCTTACAATTTAATATAGACCAAAAAATAAAAATAAAAAAGTCACATTGACATTTTTAGTGAAGCCATGGAGACCTGAGCCCTGGCTACAGCATCCCTAAAAATAGTAGTCTAAAAGTATTTTTAAATTGGTAAACATATGGCTGTGTGTTTCCATTTTTAATAGGTGATCAACAACTATCCATGGGCAGTTTATGAAACCAAATTTTCTAACTAATCAGAATCACCAAGTTTACCTATATGTGTATACTGCTTAGAAATTCTTCCTGCAGGTTGAAGTGCTTGTTGGTTCTTTTGTTGTTGTTGTTGTTTTTGTCAAAACTTAAGTATCAATCTAGCGTAAACACTGTGACCAGGTGAAGACCGTGAAAACAAACGTAGGCATTTAGAAAAATGAAATAGGAAATAATAGGATGTCATTAGACTGCAGATTTAAACTGATGACTGAGAAATGATTTTGGCCAAGCACTATACAAAGTGCCACGCATGCAGTACATCATCTAAGACTCCCATGGGCGCAAAGAGGCAGGACTGCTGTTCTTCTTCTATAAATGAGGAAACTCGGTGAGAGGTGAAGTGATTTGCAATGTCACACCACCAGGAAATGCTGAAGTGGGGCTGAAACAGCTTTACTATGCTGCTGGGTAGAAAGGGTGAAGGATGGAGGCTGGGGGGCCTCATTGCTGAGCAGGCTGGGAACAGCAGGATGAGAGGACTTGGGCAGTCTGCCACTTTGGTGACCTGGAGTCTAGGGCACACACCTCTCTACAACCAGTTCTCCTTTGCTTCCAGTTGGGGACAACCCCAGCACAGAGGACCAATGCTGGGTGGGGTGAGGCAGGCCAAGGTGTGGTGGATTACCTCTTGAAGGATCGGGAGTAGTCACTTGAAAACAATCGGAGGGACTGGTGAGAGGACTGGTGAGAGGGATGCAAGATCCCAACCTTTCCACCCGCTGAGCGGTCATGGGACCAGGACTTCATTCAGGTCCACAAGGAGGTGAGACTACACCTAAGGAATGACTGGCTCTGCATCTGCCTGGGGACACTGGCACTCTAACCATATAGCTCCCCCCTTACAAAGAT